TTTCACATAGTTTCACACACCTTTTCCCTTTCCCTTTCCCTTTCTAAATCCCTCCCCAAATCCCCCAACCAAACACATCATAATGAGGTACTACATTTTCTGCTCATTATTGTATTTTATACCTTCCTACTTGATTCATTTAGAAGCTTTAACTTTTCCATTTATTGGTGGACTGACATGTCATTACAGATGTACCGGGGCTGAAGCAGTTCCCTTGTTAGTTTGATTGCTTCTATTTCTTTGATTTTTGTGTATCAAATTGATACTTGAGATTTGGTTTCTTGATTACACCAGTTTCACCTTAATGAGGTACTACATTTTCTGCTCATTATTATATTTTATACCTTCCTACTTGATTCATTTAGAAGCTTTAACTTTTCCATTTATTGGTGGACTGACATGTCATTACAGATGTACCGGGGCTGAAGCAGTTCCCTTGTTAGTTTGATTGCTTCTATTTCTTTGATTTTTGTGTATCAAATTGATACTTGAGATGTGGATTCTTTGTTGCTTTGTTTTAATACTTGACCAGTCTGTTATTTATTGCCTTGTTGTATGTTCTGTTGTGTTAATTATTATTTAAGGTTTATTATATCCCATTTAGAAACTTCTAGTTTCTTTACCGCCAATGAAAAAAAATTTAGTTTCTATTTATGTTCCATGACAACACCCCAATGAAATGCAGTTTGGCTAGAAAACAAATAATATATTTACATGACCTGTTCCTGCCTTCAGGTCTCTGGTTTGTCGAATAAAATGCAATTGCATGCCAAGAAGTCTGACTCAGTAGAAAATAGTTTTCAATATTGGAGCCAAACACATCCTTAGTTTTTCAAAGAAAGGTTTGATTTGAACTATTTCACGTGCACGAAGTTGAACAGTAGGTTGCTTGATGAATTTTGGTTCTTGTTGTTGAATATGTTTGAGTGATGCAAGGAAAACAACTATTGTGAAGAGGCATCTCACTGGTGAATTTGAGAAGAAGTACGAACGTAAGTGTATCAGTAAAAACCTGATCTTTCTTGGGTTTGGCACGCCCAGTGGGACAACATCCTAATTTGAAACAATGGAAAAGACGAGGCATCAAAGCCAAACGAGTGGCCCTTCCTAGTAGCAATTTGGTTTCACAATTAAAGGAGGCTTTTGCATCTCTTTCAATTAAGGAAAAACAGGTGATGGTTGGTGAGTTAAGAAGTGTTACTGATGATTTTTCTAGAGGGCAGTGTCAGACAAGGGTGAAGGTCCACAAGACACCTTCAAATGTTGGTGTTGTTACTCCATCAATTGTCATGGTTGCAAAAATAGAAGGCCATGAGAATCAAAATTCCATGGCAAGAGGGCAATTTCACAAGGAAGAAATATTTTCTGGGTTTTCAACAAATATTTCTAATCCACTAATGTGTGAAACAAAAAAAATCAGATATTTGCTGCAACTCTTAGTCCAAAGAGTAATGCAAACAATCTGGTTAAAAAATGTGATCTTAAGCCAACTATGGCTGAAAATTATGAACAATCAAATGTTCATGAATTTGAAATTTTTGACATTGTTCAAGATGTGAAGTATGAGTTTTTAAGGCTATCTTATGCTATGACTTTTATTATTCAAAAGTCCTTTTTGGATTTGTGGATCACATCAAAGTTTGTTCTGTATGAAATGGCTAACAAGAGAACAAAGTTCAAAAAGTAATAGAAATATATTACCAATTGTGATTTCTTGATCAGCTAATTTTGAAGTACCAATAACTAAAGCAATTTGATGTTCCAAATATTTGCTTTATGGTTTAGAGTGTCTGTCAACATTGAAAGGTTATTGTGCTCCAGCTAATAGGCCAATTCTTGCTGAAGTATTTCTATGGTTTAAACACTTGGTTCATGCATTGCTCTGTCGATTGTGTAAATACACCGTCAATTGAAGTAATCTATTACCAATTTAAAATCTCAAACATGACTTACATTGGACTACATGTGTGAAGGATGCACATCATATTTATAATATGGTCTTTGATGGCTATCTTATTAACATGTGCTTATAATAATCATTTTTTGTTGGTTAGTAAAAAGATTTATTTTGGTGATAGTTTTTTTCTGACAAATCAATTTTATATACAACTCTTCAAGAATTCTAGTCTTCTCAATCTTAAAGAGTTTGGGGGGGGGGAGGGGGCATTGTTTTCACCCATTTTCATAAATTTCGATAGGTGGACCAATTGAGTGATGACATATGACAATGGAGTCAGAGTGAAAGTCTTCCCTTAATTAGAGGGACATGTGGCATGAAGAAGGTGATCGTGTGCATGAAGTGGTAGAAGTAACCTTGGAGCAGTCACCAACCAATTTGTGGTTTAGTGGGCTGGTTTGTAGGAGATGATGCTTACAACTGGGGGCTTATTCTCTGTCGATGTGGTGCTCAGAGTGATGAGAGGCATGTGGCAGCATGGAGGAGAGTTGGTTCGAGAGGAAGAGTTGAAGGTTTGGTAAGGTTTGAAGGCTTGGAAGTGAGGAGGTAGTTATAGTAACAGTTAAGAAGTTGCAAGTTTGAAGGAGTCATGTGATCGTGGGCCAAAGAAAGAGAAAGAAGATATAAAAGACAAGAATTTGCAGAGAGAAAGACATCATTAACAACACAAAGAACTAGTTTTAAACTTAGCATAATTTAGGAGTAGCTTTCTTAGTTTAGGAGTAGTTTCTCTCTGTAATTTGTAATCTTTGTAAACATTGGTGGTTTCAACTTGAAATCATTTTTAATTTGCTTTGTTTACTTTGTTTGATCTTGGTGATTGTAACTTTTGTTCCAAAAAAATCCTTATACTTTTGAGGCATTTGAATTAAAAACATAGTCACTTGATTACTCTTGTTTGGTTGTTTAGTTAAAATTGTTGTTTAATTCTTGTCGATTGGGAGTAATCATAATTTTTACTAACATTAACTAATAAGATTCCTCAAAAAAAAAAAAAAAAAAAAAAAAAAAAAAAAAAAAAAAATTGTGACTGCTGAAATTTGCATAGGTGAGAGATCTGTACTAATAAGATTCCTCAAAAAAACAAACAAACAAACAAAAAAAAACTAATAAGAGAGGTCTTTTTTTAGTATTATTTTCGAATGCATCTAAGGGAGGTCCAACTTGGGACATTGGTGATTAGTTTCCTCTCTCTCTCTCTCTTTCTCAAACCAGTGTGACTGCTGAAATTTGCATAGGTGAGAGATCTGTACTAATAAGATTCCTCAAAAAAACAAACAAACAAACAAAAAAAAACTAATAAGAGAGGTCTTTTTTTAGTATTATTTTCGAATGCATCTAAGGGAGGTCCAACTTGGGACATTGGTGATTAGTTTCCTCTCTCTCTCTCTCTCAAACCAGTTTGACTGCTGAAATTTGCTTGGGTGAGGGTAGAGATGGCAATTTAAAACCTGCCCGACGGGGACCCGACCCCCCGACCCCGATGGGAACGGTTTTTTCCCAAAAAATACCCCCGACGGGCCGGGGATGGTATTTAAAAATAAATCCCCGACCATTTTCGGGCCGGGGATGGTGATATGTTTTACAACCCCGTCCCCGGCCCCGGCCCCGGCCCCGTACCCACTTCCCCGATGTGAAATTACCACTCTACCACTGTGTATATATATATGTTTTCTCACTCTTTTTCTTATTTTAGGTTAGAGACATTGAGTTCACAGTCTAACATCTCGCACTCTCTGTCCTCCTTCCTTACGCCGCTCGGTGGCCTCTTCTACTCCTTCGCTCGGTCGATCCCTGCTCCATCGCCTCCTCCTCCTTCTCGATCGCCTTCTCATCCGGCAGATCTGAACAGACCCCCGTCACCTCCTCATCCTTCTCCGTCGTTTCCTTCCCCGGCAGATCTGAGCAGATCTAGTCGCCTCCTCCTTCGTCGTTTCTTCTTCCGACAGATCTGAGTAGATCCCCACTATTTGATGTTGATATATACATAAATATATAGTTGATTTTTTTATTCTTGTTGTTGATATACATATATATATTTGACGATGTCTATATATCCGGTGGATCTGATGATGTTGATATATGCATATATATATATATATATATTTGATTCTTGATATATAGATTATAGTTGTTGAATAATCTGTCTGTTTGTTGTTGATGTTGATGATGATGAGATGAAATAGATTTCTCGATCTCAATCTCTGGTTTTTTTTTTTTTTTAAATTTGGCCGGGAATTTTCGGGTTCGGGGAAACCCGATCCCCGTTAGGGGACAGGGGCGGGGTTGGTGGTAGGTTCTCCATCGGGGATCGGAGTCGGGGACGAGGAGCATGATCTCCGGCCCCGCCCCGTCCTGTACTAATAAGATTCCTAAAAAACCAAAAAAAACACTAATAAGAGAGGTCTTTTTTTAGTATTATTTTTGATTGCGACTAAGGGAGGTCCAACTTGGGACATTGGTGATTAGTTTCCTCTCTCTCTCTCTCTTTCTCAAACCAGTGTGACTGCTGAAATTTGCTTAGGTGAGAGATCTGTACTAATAAGATTCCTCAAAAAAACAAACAAACAAACAAAAAAAAACTAATAAGAGAGGTCTTTTTTTAGTATTATTTTCGAATGCATCTAAGGGAGGTCCAACTTGGGACATTGGTGATTAGTTTCCTCTCTCTCAAACCAGTGTGACTGCTGAAATTTGCTTGGGTAAGGGATCTGTAATTGTGAAATTTGCTTCCAGTTTGTACGCTTTTTCTGACCTTCCTCTTCATATTCCAGACCAAACAAGGTAACTGAACCTGAAAACAGAGCTTTCATTTACTTTCTGATCTCCATTTCCCTTTTATTCCTGCTCCTGCTGTACTGTTTTGCTTTCGTTCTTGCTGTCCCCTTTTGATTCTTGTACTCTCTTTGCTTTCTTTCTTCTTTCTTTTCTTTGTTTTTTCGCCTTTTCATCTTGTGTTTCCTTTTTAATTTCTGAAGGGGAAAAAAAAAAAAAAAAAAGTCCAGGAAAAAGCCTAAAAATTAAAAGGAGAAAAAAGTGAGAGATGGCTGAAGGAATTGGTTTCTCCTTTTTGGGGAAAGCTTTGGGGGGAATTGGAGAGTATTTGGTTGCTCCGATCGGCCAACAGTTTGGTTATCTGTTTTGCTTCAACATCAACATTCAAAATCTTGAGACTCAATTGGACAGCCTAAAAGTGACAAGAGAAGGGGTTCAACTAGGGGTGAATGAAACACGCAACAATGTCAGAACCGTTGGACCTCATCTTGAGGCATGGCTGACTAAAGCAAATGACAACACAGCAGAGGCAGAGACAATTATTAAAGACAAGGCCCAAGTTCAAAAGGGGTGTTTCAATGGGTGGTGTCCAAATCTCAAGTTGCGTTACTCACTGGCCAGGAAAGCCGTGAAGAAGACTCAGGAACTTGCTCTTCTCCATGCTGAGGGTAGCAACTACATTCAGTCGTCCTACAATCCACCACCACCAAGCATAGAACCTATACCTACAACAACAGAATTCCAGGGGTTTGATTCTCGAATTCTGGTCATGAACGAGATCATTGAGGCTTTGAAAGATGATGGGATCCACCTGATTGGGATATGCGGGATGGCCGGAGTGGGCAAGGCAACAATGGCAGAAGAAGTTGCAAAAAGAACCAAAAATCTCTACAAGGAATTTCCTATGGCAGTTGTTAGCCAAGAGCCAGACCTAACTAAGGTTCAAGGGTGTATTGCAGACATGTTGGGTCTCAAACTTGATGACAGGGAGAGCCCAATAGCAAGAGCAAGTCTCCTACGCAAGAGACTTCTACTAGACAATAAGAAAATTCTTGTCATATTGGATGATGTCTGGGCAGAGTTTGATCTAGAGGACTTGGGATTTCCTCTGGGGGGAGGCAGCAACAAGAGTTGTAAGATCCTTTTCACTTCACGAAATCGAAATTTGTGGAAAGGAATACAAAATAAAAGGTTTATCCAACTTCAAGTCCTAGTGGGGGACGAACCATGGCATCTCTTTAGAAAGAAGGTAGGCGATTGTGCTGACAACCTTGATCTGCTACCACTTGCAAAAGATATTGTAAATGAATGTGGAGGTTTACCACTTGCCCTCGTAACTATGGGAAGTACACTTATGAATGAACACAACCAATATCACTGGAAAGATGCACTTCGACAACTAAGAACCCCTTGTTCAGAAAGTTTGTTGTCAGAAGTGCCTGCAAAAGTGTATCAAGCTCTATATTTTAGTTACAATTTTCTAAAAGATGAGAGAACCAAGAAGTTGTTTCTGTTCTGTTGCTTGTTTCCAGAAGACTTTAATATTCATATTGAAGATTTGGTTAGATACGGAATCGGATTGCGGTGGTTTGAAGACATCGACAAAGTGGATGAAGTAAGAGATCGAGTGAATGTCTTAGTTGATCAACTTAAAAGTTGTTATTTACTGTTGGATGGTCGTTTTGAGGGGCAGATAAAAATGCATGATGTAGTGCACGATGTCGCCATATCAATTGCGGCTAAAGATAAGCATGGTTTTATGACAATCCATGGTGCCAAATAGAGAGAGTGGCCAAAGAAGGCGACATATGAGCTTAACACTTCCATTTCGGTGATGTCAAAAGAAATTGTAGAGTTTCCAGGAGGATTGAGATGCCCAAAACTTGAGTTTTTACTAATAGAATGCGGGAATAGTTCACTAAAAATACCAAGCAATTTTTTTGAGGGCATGCGGCAACTCAAAGTTTTGGACCTGAGAATCACGGAATACATCTCATTACTGCCGTCATCACTGCAATTCTTGAGCAACCTGTTGACATTGCATCTTGATTACTGTCAGAAGTTCGATAATATATCTATAATTGGAAAGCTATTGAATCTGGAAATCCTCAGCTTTCGTGAATCCAAAATTGAGGATTTACCTGAGGAAATAGGAGGATTGGTTAATTTAAAGTTGTTAGATCTGACAGAATGTTGTAAACTTAAAAGAATAGCACCTGGTGTCATATCAGTCCTAGTCCAATTACAAGAGTTGTACATGGATGGCCGCGAAATCATTTGGGAACGAGAAGGCAAGGAAGGAGGAGAAAATGCAGCTTGAGAGAGTTTGAATCCTTGTCCAATTTGAATACTTTAGAGATTAATATAAAAGATGTCGTGTGTTTGCCGAGAATCCCATTGTTTAGCAAATTGACAAAATACTTAATTTGTATAGGTTATGATTCCAACACCATTTATATTGAAGAATACAAAAAAAGGTTCCGAAAGCTTTTGAGTCTCAATCTTTATGACACGTGTACTATCCTGTCAGAATGTGGTTCGATCATTTCGTTGTTAAGGAGTAGTGCAGTTCTAGAGTTAATGGGGAAGGGTTCGGAGGATGCAGTGCAAGAGTTGTTTCGAGATCGAGAGGGAGTTGAAGGATGCCAACACTTGAAGGAACTAGTAATTGGAGATTGTGCTACACCAGAATGTCTTGTCAATACAATGGAATGCGTTCCGCGTACACCTAATGCTATTCCTTCTATTTTTCCTATCCTGGAGTCATTAGAGCTCTGTTATCTACCCAATTTAAGAAAGATATGTCACTGCCAACTCCCAACCTACTCTTTTGGAAAACTAAAACGTCTTGCAATATATGATTGTGATAGAATGGAAGAAGTTATTTGGAAGGAAAAAGGAGAAGATGATTCAACAAACAAGATGGAGTTTCCAGCGTTAGAATCCATGACTTTGTGGGGTCTACCAATGCTCATTGGTTTTTGCAGAGGGACTGACGAGATTGAGTTCTCTCAATTGAAGAAATTGTGTCTACAGAAACTACCACAACTCAAGTGGCTCTTCCTCAATAGCAGTTATCCGTTTTCAGAGTCAATGGAAAACCACAATACTACCTTCCGATCTCTTTTCCCCCACAAGGTATGTGCACATGTCTTTCTTTTCTATACGAAAAAGTAATCATTCTATTCGTATTATGAGGACAAGGTTCTCAATCCATGGAAGCATCTCTAAACTCTTTCAGGTTTGTACGCAGATGCAGTTCTTCGCTCGAGCCTCCAATGCTTCGCTCGAGCGCACAATGACCTCTTTCAGGTTTGCAGCCAGACGCAGTCCTTCGCTCGAGCGAGGCCTTCTTCGCTCGAGCGAGAAACACAAAACAGCACAGAAATTACAACTCGATTACACAAGTTTGTTCGTGGAATTGACAAGACTTAGGGACCTAACATAATGCTATTCCTTCTATTTTTCCTATCCTGGAGTCATTAGAGCTCTGTTATCTACCCAATTTAAGAAAGATATGTCACTGCCAACTCCCAACCTACTCTTTTGGAAAACTAAAACATCTTGCAATATATGATTGTGATAGAATGGAAGAAGTTATTTAGAAGGAAAAAGGAGAAGATGATTCAACAAACAAGATGGAGTTTCCAGCGTTAGAATCCATGACTTTGTGGGGTCTACCAATGCTCATTGGTTTTTGCAGAGGGACTGACGAGATTGAGTTCTCTCAATTGAAGAAATTGTGTCTACAGAAACTACCACAACTCAAGTGGCTCTTCCTCAATAGCAGTTATCCGTTTTCAGAGTCAATGGAAAACCACAATACTACCTTCCGATCTCTTTTCCCCCACAAGGTATGTGCACATGTCTTTCTTTTCTATACGAAAAAGTAATCATTCTATTCGTATTATGAGGACAAGGTTCTCAATCCATGGAAGCATCTCAGCTACTCTTTGCAAAACTTTTATTATTCTACTTTGACATAGTTTGTTCATTCTAATATGATTTGCTGTAAATAAATTTTAAAAAAAATGTGAAAATTGAAATCTAGGGAGAAAAAAGAGAGTTAATACTGTGTCATAAAATGTGATTATACAATAAAAAGATCTAAATTTCTAAAGAAAACTCTTATTAGCATTAACAAATATGAGATAACTTCATGTGTGATTTTTTTTTTCTTTTTTCAAATAATTAACATGGTATATTCAGAAGCATAGACATGGATATGACATGTTAAAGTTATGCTCACACGACAATTAAAAAAATTCCAAACAAATATGGGTAAATTATATTTTTGCAGTCTGATTGATGATATAAATATATCTCATATTTGTAATTATTCTACTATCGATTAATCCAAAAAAATTTTACATTTTATCCATATCAACTATATACTCCCCTCAATTAAAAATTGTAACACCTAACTCTCCTTGTCTACTAATTTTATTCAATTTGGACTTTTGTGACGAAAATACCCTTTCATCAATAGGATAAATTACATTTTGCTCTCTTGAACTGTCACCCAATCTCACTTGACCCCCCCCTCAACTAAAATATAATACATTTATCGCTTCGAATTTATATCAATGCAAATATTTTGTTAAGGATATGTCTCTTAAATACATGAAAATTTGACATATGACTTATACATGACATCTCAAATAGAATGCCTAAAATGAAATTATCAATCTGTTTGGTTTAGTTTTTAAAAACTATTTTTTTTTTTTTTTTTTTTTTTTTTTGCGTTTAGTGAATTGTCTTTAGTGAAATTCTTTCATTTTAAGTTAAAACTTTTTTATTTTCACGTACATCTAATCTAAATGCATCTAAAAAGTAAATATTTATGAAAATTTCTAAAAAAATTAGCTAAAGACAAAAAGTACAAAAACTTACCAAATTTTTTCATCTTTGGTGAATTTTTAAAAAATATTTAATTTTTAGGTGCATCTCGAAATTTAAATTTTATTACTAAAGTATGAAAAAAAAAACTAAAAAATTGTATTTTAGCTTTAAAATTAAACAATTTTTTTAATTGCAAGGGTAGAGTGATATTGAGCGGTAGATACAGTTGAAAAAGTATTTTCGTCATGAAAGTCCAGATTGAATAAAAAAAATAATACATAAAGGGGGTTAAGTGTTAAAACTTTTAGTTCAAGGACAATAGATGAGGGAGGTGAAATGTTGTTAGGTTTTTGTAGTTGACAATTCCGTTTGACAAAATTCTTTTCAATTGTAATTTTATTCGTTCTTTTGTTTCAGTAAGGATATGAGTGTTTAGATGCAAATCCAATCCGAATTATGCCTATGAAGAGTAGTTTGTGATCTTGAGAGCCTTTCATGTTTGCCACTTCTCTGACTATATATGAGGATCGAGCAATGAATGGCATCATCTAGTATTTTTGTAGAACAAATTGAACTTCTGAGAGAATCCTTTATGCGCTCAAGCGGCGGAGTCTTGGCTTGAGCGATGGGCACGTGTTTTAGTGAGTTCGCTCGAGTGGTCTTCATGATCAGTTTTCTATAAAGTGTGTCATTCTCTATATTTAGGGTTTAAGCCATCCAAATTTTGGGAGAGCAAAACTACCAAGGTTTTCTATATTGGAGGGAATTTTTATAAGTGTTTCATTGATGATTCGAGAGTGATCAATGAATCTACAAACTTCATATTAAAATTATCTAGTGGTTTGTTTGTTTTCTTTTATTCACAAAAGAGAGAGTTGTTCTTCGGTAAATTCTGAAAAACTTGGGCATAAAGCTTTGGTGGATTCCGGAGTGACTCATCGTCGTGGATTCGGCATCAGCGTTGTGGATTTTACGTTAAGCAAGACAATTCCGAGGTGAATATGATGATGGAAGAGGCATATCGGAGTTTATTCAATTCGTGCATGGATTTGCTAGGTAATTAAGGGTACACATATATAATTCATTTTTATCTTCTTAGTGGATTGTTTTGTGACTTTGGCCCGAGATTTTTTTATCACAATTAGAGACACTCCAATTGTGGTTTTTCACGTTTGTCATTGTGTTGGTTTGTCTTTGATTGTTTTATTAGGATTGTTATTCATTATTTAAAATTGAAACATAATCATAAATCAATATATCGGAAATTTTAGTTTTTTCAATGTAATTTTCCCAATATATATTTATAAATGTGTATATATATTTTTGCATAAAAATATTAACTATTCAGTTTTTACATTATATATTTATGTTTTATTTGTATCGATAAGGAATCAGTTTTTACATTATAAATATTCAAGAAAAAATTCAAAAAAAAAAATTATCTTACCAATATTGTGTTGAAACATAAAATAAATAAATAAATAAAAATGGGGCCAATTCAATTAATTTCTTGTCGTTTGGCCTACGTGTGTGCATAACTCCTTTGTCATTTGGGAACTAATCCTTTGTGGTTTGTGGATCAAAGTGTAAGCTAAAAGACTAAAATACATTTATACATAAGTAATGACATTGTGATTTTAGTAATGACATTAATTTCTTATGTTTTACTCTATTTGTGATTCACCTTTTATGTCCTGGAATGTCTTTCACGCTTGTTAGTATCTTTCATATCTAACAGTATACTTTAATTCACAAATCATAAGGAGTTATTAGGTTATTTCCACATGATAGTAGATAAATCACACATGGAGCAAACCACAAGATTAAAGTGAAGTTTTTCTATAAAAAAAAAAAATAAAATAAAATAAAATAAAAAAAAATTAGTTCACAAATCACAAGGAATTATGTGCTTATTTGTAAATGATATAGGGTAAATCAGATATAGTGTAAATCAAAGAGTAAAGTGAGGTTTGTCTAAAAAAATATTTATTCTACAAATCACAAAGAATTATGTGTGTATTCCAAACAATAAGAAGGTAAACCGCACCTAGAGTAAACCAAAGAGTAAAGTACAGTTTGCCCCAAAAAATAACACCATCATAACATTATTGAAATTATAAAAATAATGTGTTTTATATATAAAAGAACACTAACGTAGTTCACATTAATTGCTCCTCAAATTACCGAAACATCTTTTTCCTCTCTCATGTGTGATAAAAGTAGGCAAGTAGAAGAAAGCATGACTGAATCTCTTTATTAGAAGTAACCGTTTATTAGGAGTATTAAGCACTCACCAAGCATGGACGTAGGAGGTGCGGCCTGGGGGGTTGCACCCTAATTTTTTTTTTTTTAAATTATATATATTATATTAGTAATTAATAAGATAATTATAAATTGGAATACTTCTCATTTCCAAAATTTCAATAGTTCGCACTGTCTAAATTATTTACATTACGAAATTTTAAAATAGTTTTAAATTGAGTTTTATCAAATATTAATCTATTCTATTTTTTATCTGTATTATTTGTTATATTTGTTATATCGTTTAAAGTTAATTGTATTCTTTTATTTGTTTCTATTTGTTACTATTCTTATTTTCTGTTCATATGTCATTTATGTTTTTTTTCTTCTTTTATAAATCACACTTTAATTTGCTTATACATCTTATTTTGCATTCTTTCTTGTTTGTTCATTCTATAGAAATAAGAATATTGTTTGGAAATAAAAATATTATATACTTTAACGTGACATTCTTAAAATAAATTAATAAAATTTAATACCGTTTATTGAAATGGATTATCATTATACTTATAAAAACATACATTTTCAATTATAATTTTTTTTTTCAAAACTAAACTATGTAATAAAATGAAAGATGATTTTGTAGCAAGTTACTTGATCATATTTATTGAGAAATATATTAATTAAGGTTTTGATGTCAAGTTTAACATAGATATTTATATATATGTATATATATATTATAAAAGTGGCAATCACAACATTTTTAAATAGTGAACTTTACCAGACGGAGACATAGTAATAGTTAATATTTTATTAAGTTAATGCAAACAAGAAATATGTCTAATTATATATTTTTTTTCTCAATTGTGTTGACAAAGAATGTCCGATTGATAATAATATTTTTTATTTTTCCATGCTGCTGTAAATCAAAATTTAAAATTTTATAATAATTTTTTCAATGAAAAGTTGAATGTGTTTCCCCCCTCCAAAGCTCAAATCCTAGATCTGTCTCAGCACTCACTCTATTTAGAAATGAGCTAAGATCTTTAGAAATGATTTTGTCATTTGGTCATGGATGGAAATTTTACTATTAGAATATAGCGTATTCTATTGTTAGTTTCTTTAGTTGAATGACACAATCATTTGTTTCTCATCTTTCTCTTTTCATTGTCAAGGATTAGTATTTTTTTTTGGTGTCAATAACCAAATGAAAAAAAGGCAATCATATCTTATTTCATTCATTTAAATTTTTTGGTTGTAAAGATTATTGGTCATATATGCAGACTATAAGAGGAGAGACAAAGATAGAGTGATATTCCATAACCATTCCTACAAATGTTAATAACTACCACTGACAAAAGTTTTATTTTCAGGTTGCATTACCTAGCTTGGAGGAGCTAGAACTCAATGATCTTGACAATCTGGAAGGGCTGGAACACATTCCAATCTCAGTGGGTTCCTTTTCTAAACTAAGAAGAGTACATGTAGAACACTGTGGCAAATTACTCTATGTTTTTCCATCACAATTTCTTACGAGGCTGCAAAATCTTGAAGATCTAACTGTAGAAAATTGCAGTTTACTAGAGGTGTTTGAATTGGAAATGGTGGACTGTAAGGAACAAGAATTAGAGATGCTCTTGCTCTTGAAATCTCTAAAATTAAAACATCTACCCCAACTGGGTCATATTTCAAAGAGAGATCCCATTGGATTTACGTACATTTCACAATTAAGTATTCTACATGTTCATGACTGTAATAACTTGAGATATCTATTCCCACATTACATGATGAAGTGTATGTTACAACTCCAAGAACTGGACATATGGAGATGTAAAATGATGTCAAGGATTGTTGCAGATGAGAAAGGGCAGGGCAAAAGCTCGGTGGATAAAATCGAGTTCACTCAATTGAAAGTTCTGCGTCTTTATGATCTGCAAAACCTTGTGAGCATCTTCCCGAAAGTGACTACTACTGTGGCGACATCATTTGAACACATCCAAAACCCGAGACAAAGTCTCTTCAATGAAAAGGTCAATGGTAGAAGTTAAATGCTCTAATGACACTAGAGCAGTAAATCTCCTTTTTAAACATTTTATATTACTTTTAGTAGTATGGTTGTTAATGCAATTGTTTGGTTTGCAGGTTGCATTCCCTAGCTTGGAGAAATTGGTACTCCGTGGATTCCAGAACATGAACGAAATATGGTGCAATGAACTTCAGACTGGCTCGTTCAACAAACTAATTAAACTGTATGTCTCAGATTGTGGCAATTTGAGAAATCTGTTCTCTCTTTTTTGTTGGAAATGGTTAATTTTTCCTCAAGTTCGGTCTATTTTTTAGGTGGGCCCCGAGTGTCGATTTACTCGGGTCAAAGTGGTAAAGCGTTCTATGCCGCGTTGTGATTCACGTGGTATATTTGGTTGCTCAAAACCATTACCGAGTGAATGGGAAATTGAAGCCAAAGTGTGCTCCATGAAAATGGAGTTTTGGTGGAAATTCCTTAAGGTTGTAAATTGGCTTGTCCCACATTGATTTGGTGGGAGGTTTTGAAAGGGTTTATAAGGCTTAGGGTGAGATACTTGGGGTGTGCCCCAAGGGGTACCCAAGTGTTTTAGAGGGAGAGGTTATGGGCAAAATGGGCTAGACCCATTGGACTCAAAAATCACCACACGCGCCGCCGCCGCCGTCCGTCCGGGCGGGCTGGGCTTCTAATCTTTTTGGGCCAAAAATATTTGAATTTAATTTTAATTTTTATTAAAATAAAATCCATTAAGCAGTCTAAGAGTAGTAATGACAAGAATTTAGACGGTATAGCATTGTAGTTTAATCAAGCATTCCATTTGAATCTCAAAATTGGAGTCATATGTGAGTTATTACAACTAAAAACTTGGGAAAAGTTCTTTTATGAAAGAAATACAATCCATTGGAAAACTGCTCTTTGTTGATGTTAGGGTGCGTCTTGAAGAGGACACCTGGATTGCCTCCAGTCTCAACCTGAAAGTAAGGAAAGATGTTAAAGCATGCCATTAGATAAAGCATCAGAATTTAAATCTACAAACTCAACTCATGGAGAAAAAAGTATGCACTTCTAAAGATACCACAAAAATTAGCTTTAAAAGGTCATTAGTCTTTTAACAGCAGAAATAAACTTAAGGCAATATTATAGTCTCTAAATATGGTGAAGAACTAAGCTCCTGTTTGAATTTCCAACTGAAATTGAATGGGGCCATTCCTTTCTCACAAAAGAATTTAACTTAAAACTCATCAACCTTGAACTGTTATTTCCATAAAGCCTATAAATGACCATATATGAAAAAAATTATAAAATAGAACTCTACTTGAGATTACTCTGTAACACAGTTGACATATAAAAATACAGCAAGATTTAGATAAAAATAAGAACGGAACAAGGTGGCGATGAAAGTGGAGAACCCCCATGCGAAAACCATCAGAAATTGCCATTATCTAAATCCTCATCAAGTGACCACATGTTGACAATTGCAGTTCCAAGTTCAAGCAAAGGGAACACAGTTCAGGAGGAAGAAGACATCACTACAAAAACTGAACAAGAAATGGCTGAAGAACAGTCCTCATTTTCCATTCCTGATGCTAAAGACGGGGGTCAAACAGAGGTAAATAATACAGGTAGTCCAAATGAAGTAGAGAAGCACACCAGGGAAGGCGATTTGATGGGAGGGTTTAAATCAGACCAGGCATTTAGACAGATACAAAAGATCTACATGTCTCACATCAACCAAATCAGCATAACTTTCACATATCAAGGCTACTCTTTAGACAGATACAAAAGGTGTTTGAATTTAACAGGACTGTTCACAATTTCATAACCATAACATCTAAGAGATCTCAATCCTAGAAAACTTCATGCAAGTCATTCAAAAATTTCCTCTAAGTGCACAGTATCATGTGAATAAAAGAAAATGACAGAAGAGAACCTGGCATGCCTCTGACAGAGTTGAGAATCCTTCTTCAAAACAAAGCTGAAAGTCAAAATTTTAACATAAAAGACATGTATTATAAGGTTCAGCTGAAAAGCATAGTAAAATGAATTTGGAACCTGTACTCGTCACTAACACCATATGAAAAGACTATATCCTGAAACTCTTCAAGCACTGCCACTGCACATGAATTCATAAGGTTTAAAGCTTGGCCATCGTTTGGTTTCTCAAATTCATGACCTTCAGAAAATCACTGACACACACTCATCTGCAACATTTTTCATTATGTAAGATGTTTCCAATGAAACTGAGGAAAGACAGATTTATAGATCCAGCATGCCTTCTTAGTTTTAGAATCAAACATCCTTTCCAACATCACCACATCATGTTAGGCCATGAAAATTAGATTGGGACTTTAAACAGTAATTCTATGGTCCCAGAACTTCTTTCCCAGAAATCTCCTAGAATCCAATTACCATGTGCAATATCAACTACAGCATAAAATTGGGTATGATCACTTGGTTGCAAGAAAAAGAAAACCAATAAATGAGCAGAATATATATATATATATATATGGGTAATACATGAGCAGAATTGTACAATCATGAACTAAAAATTATACACGCGAGGTCACATGTATCGGTAATAAGACTGGCCAATACTGACCATAGGGTAGGTATGATCTTTATCTTTAGGAAAAGTCATAAAACTGAACTGTTGAGTTCTAACAAATAGTTGATAACCTGAGGATTGGTCAACTTGGGCTGTCGTCGTTCAAGCCGCCTTAAATGATACTTGTAAGCTACAAAACCAAAAGCACCTTTTGTCGGCCAAAATCGAACAACCTTAAAACATAGAATTTGGAATCAATCAAACCGAAGTTAGAAGTCATGATAAAAAAGCAATTGGTGAAGTACATAGACATAATCAAATGACCATTCATGTTGAAATGAAATGTCAAGTCAACAAAGCCTTGTTCCAACTACTTGGGCTACATGAATCTTGTTTTTCTATTCCACTCAACCAAGGGCCTTGAATCATATACAATGTAACGTAATAAAAGTAGAATCTTCTTGCATAGTAGCTTAAGCATACCGTTAAATTGTCAATTTTTTTTGGGTACATTGTCCATGCATTTTAATGTTTTGAAACCAAAACCAGCTATGGCTTTGAGCTTCTTGTCAATGTTCTATCCATGTTATTGCTTTTCATATCTGATTACTCTTGGGTGAGGTACAAATTTATAGATTACTTAGTAACATCATGTTAGCCATCAACTTTTAACTACATTGACTGCATCAAGATATTTTTGTAAAAGAAGCCAGGATACATACCTAAGCTTCAAATATCATTATAGGCAAAATGCTTTTTGCAAGTGTAAAATGGATTATCAAAAAGCTCACGCAACTGAGGAGACACCACAGTGCTCAATCATGCCTAAGCTAAGAAGTTTTAAGGGACTACATGAAGACTTAGTAATGAAACCAGCCTACATTAGCTAGAAAAGTAAAAATTATGAGGAAGCCTTACCAAAAAGAACAATACAAGTCTAAGGATTTGAATGGTTATGCAATAAACATAAGAAACAAGGATATCAACTGTTATTCTAGAGAATTGCCTCAAAGGTTTGTTGAAAGAGTTCTGCCATAAAGACTGTGAGCATCATTACATAATGCTATAGAGATGAATAAGGGAAAAACCATCAGCGTAACAAGTGCCTTACTATCTTTTGTTCATAAGTGATTAAACCAAACCAAGCCTAATGTTCCAATCAAGTGGGGTACTACATCAATCCTTTTCCTACACTCTAGACCATACCTTATATGACATCTTCATTTCCCACTAAGGCAGGACTCAATTTTCTCAAAACCATGGCTTAATGACAATAGTTATATGGATAAAATATACATATAAGAGGCCATGGAAATTTTGGTTAGTTTTCTTGAGTTTCAACAACATTGATGTGAATACATAGCCCTCATATACAGAATGCACACTAGTACAATTTACTTGTTTAATCAAAACTAGTTAGAGGAGCTCAACCACTTTTCCATCTCAAATACTCTTCAAATGGTAAATGCTACTACTAAAGTGGGTAGGTATAAAAGATAATATCAGCCGCTGCAATTCAACAAATTTTCAGGAAGATTGCATCAATGAGTAAATGACTTTTTTAAGACTGTTCCTAGCCCAAAAGAAGATGTAAATGCTCATGTTTTAAACAATCCCATATACCATATACACAAGCGCTGAATATCAACAATATATAACCTCTTATTGTCATTGCATTACCTATTATCATTAACTAATAAAAAGTGAGGAATACCAACAGAGGATTTTCTAAGGTGGGGTAGGATTTAAAAAACAAGACAAAAACAAAAAAGAAAGAAAGAAAAAAGAGAAAATAACAGCATGGGTAATCCTCAAAGTTCAAGAAGAATTATGGGACCCTACTCATCTATATTGAACATTTAATATCAATTGAAGCATACAAAAATTGGCAATAAAGGGAAATCACAAAGATATGATGAGTCATTTCAACAGTAAAAGAACAAGACCTTAAGTTACATATTTTTCTAGGCGTTCCATGGAAAAAATATTATAAGCTAAAACTATGAGACCCTCAGTATTATTGCGTAATCAGACATGTAGCACAGATGAGAACGCAGGAGTGTCGTAAAAAATAATAATATATATATAGGTACAGCCAATTAATGTTAAAGAGAAAAAAAAAACCACAAATTTTTAGTATTATAATATAATATTATATTGTACATTAGCTAAAAGAATAATGACAAACTATTATTTACAAATTATCGATAAAATTGGGAAACCAAATTACCCTTTTCAGTAGATCCTACAAAAATTTCATTTCAATATATAGTCTTAAACCATTTTCATATCCCATGTACTTTTCCATTATATGCAAAAGGGCTGTAAGAAAGTCTACTTGCTAGTTTTAACTGTTGAATCCAACTTTAGTAATTATCATATCTTTTAAAATTTTTCCACACATTCTAAACATGTTAGATAAGTTTAGAAGGTATCGGGGTAATTTGAGGAGTATTGATATCCGATACGGATGCAATGTGCTTTGTAGTTTTTTGTCATGAATAGAGGGATAAAGGTTTATCATGGTGAAAAATAAGGTTATTCTGAACTAAGCTTTGAACCATCCATTACTTAATTCCAGACTTATGCCATGAATCCAGCCATGTAGGACCAAAATTAAATATTATTGAAGTGCACTTCAACTTTCCATTTTCCATTTCTAACAGGCAACATGAATATAGTTAAGTAGGTTTCTTGAAAATTATACAAGTATTAAAGCAAATCTTCCAATATTTTCTGCAATACGCTTATATATCAAAAAATTGAGTGATGTGGCCATAATGGTTGATCCTCCCACACATAATTTCTCAGGTGTAGCTTTTGCAGTTCAAATATAGGCAAAATGTATGACAAATCTTATTTGACTTTTCATCAATCTACTAAATTTAAATTTTTTTAAAAAAAAACAAGGAGAGAGAGATGAAGAATCTAAAACTAGGCCCTCCATTACTCACTCTAAATATCGCAAGATCAAATAAATAACTCCCTTTCAGATTATGGATTGAAAACAATGCAGTTATAATTGCCTACAAAACAGAATACACGTTTGTTGCATATACCCACTCATTTCAAAACAGAGCATCAAACATAGGCAAATCTTATGATGCGTTTGGCAACCAGTGTATGACTGCCTCAAATTAATAGCAGATGAGGAAGGATTTATTCAAACCAAAGCTTGTTTCCAGAATAAGCCTACCTGGTGAAAAAATCAATACGAATGAATGATTCGAATTACAGTGAGTTCAGATGAAGAAGTTGAATACGAATTACAGTGAGTTCAGTGAGTTCAAGTGATCGAAGTAGAGAGATGAATAAGTTGAAATACGAATGAATGATTCGAAGAGACTCACTGAGACGAGAGAGAGAGAGAGAGAGAGATACCGTTGGAGATCTCTTCTTTAGACGACCATGGTGATCTACAGTGCGAAATCGAGAGAGGAATCTTGATCTAACAATGAACCTGGTTACTCAGACACGGTCGAGTGATTTGGGGAAAATGAGAGTCTAGGGCAGGATATAAATCAAAGATCGAGCGATTTGGGGAAAATGAGAGCCTAGGGCAACATAGAAATCAAAGATCGAGCAATTTGGAAAATATAAATTGGGCTGAGTCCCAATGGTGGGCTCGCAAGTTTTTGTTTGAAAATATAAGTCCCAATAGTTGCTTCGCCTGGTTTGCCGTTGTAAATAATATTTTTTGCGACGGTCAAATAATCAGTCGCAAAAAACAGACGCAAAAAGTTGTTTTTCTAGTAGTGAAACTAATTAAACTGTATGTCTCAGATTGTGGCAATTTGAGAAATCTGTTCTCTCTTTTTATGGCCAGACATCTCGTGCATCTAAAAAAGCTAGTCATAAATAAATGCTCAATGATGGAAGAGGTAGTTGCAAATGAGGAAGATGAAAAAGGAGGAAGGATAGACAGAACTCTATTGCCTAAATTGGAGTATTTGGAACTCAAAGATCTACCAGAGCTCGAGAGTTTTTGCCACGTTACTCATGTTTGGGAATTGCCATTGGTAGAACACATCACTGTCCTCAATTGCCCTAAAATGAAGACCTTCTCTCCTGGAGTCATATGCACCCCAAAGTTGCAACGTGTATTTGTGAAGGATGGAAAGCACATTGGGGTCCCAGACGGAAAAGACTGGCTATGGATAAGCGACCTCAATCAAACCATGCTGCACCTAATTGAAAAGGTATGTTGTTTATATGAATACTTTTGTTTTTCTCTCTCTTTTTCTTCCATTAAGTGCATAAGCCACATTGTAACGTCCAAGTATCCAAAAAGGAAAACAAGCTCCAGACAATTTTGAAATAAGTATTTTAAAACTACCAAACCATGATTTTTCCAAAATATAAAATTTTGTTTACTATACTGCTAAATTTGCAATTAAAAGAAGTATCAAATTAATATATCTGAAGTACATTTTACATAAAATTTTCTTCCTTCCAATTATAAAAGATCAAAAGTTCGTTCTTTCTAAACTATGAAAGTTTCTTTTAAGCTGTGTTTAGATCATAAATTTGAATAAAGATTTATTAAAAGAAAAAAAAAGAAGAAGAAGAAGAAAGAAAGAAAAAATGCGAGTAAAATGTGAATAAAATATAACTATATCTCACGCTCTTTCTTTTTTCCTTTCTAAATCCCTATTCAAATTTATACAAACATAAAAATTCAAAAAAATTAGATTTACTGTACAGGGCTATTAATTCTTGTGCTATTTAATATATTACTGTGAGCATTACTCATAAAATTATTATTTAAATTCATGATTAGTCATAGTACACCTGAAGTGTACCCAACAATTCACTCTTCTTTTTACTTACCAACTAATACACTATCATGTATAAACTTTAAGATCTACTAGCTTATAAAAAAGCATTGAACTTGTATGGTTCTTTATAATATGAGTATAATAATTTTTCATATACTAATAATCTTATTAAAAATATAAGAAGTTGAATATGATTGGTTGTTAAAAAAGTAATGATACTTAAACATCTAATGATGTGGTGACATGTACATTTTTAGTAGGAGTGTTTGCGGTTCAGTTGTGGTCGAGGAACCTTCAATTTGCCATCCATCCACCGGATTGGTGGATTGGAAAAAATCAATCCACATCCGTCTGCTGGATTGCCGAATGCATATTGAGCGGATTGGCAGATGGATGCGAATCGGTTGGTAGTTTAAACTTTTACAAATTTTGAACATAATACAACTTGTCAACATTTTTTTTTTTTGGATAACAGTCCAACTCAACATAATCAAAAGATTATCAAATATAAATTGTCAAATACCAATAATAAATATATATAAGAAAATCATGCAGTATCAAAACCATTTAATTACTGCTTTTTTATTCAAAAACTATTTATTTGTTTTTTAAAAAAAATGACAAAATTAAGTCTTATATTTTCCACGCAAAAATATCAAATATCAACACTTGCCATTTGAAAAAAGAATTTCCAAATTGAAAACACAACAGAATATCTAAACTCTTTTTTCAATTGAAAACATAAACATAATATCTAAACAAATTGAAAATACAAAATCTTACAAATTACTAGCGGTGCTCGCAGTTTGGCAGTTCAGTTGCGGCCAAAGGAACTTCAAATTTGCCATCCGTCCAAAACTAGGCGGATTGAAAAAAATCAATCCATAATTGTCCGCTCGTCATCACGCATCGGTTTAAAATGTGGCGGATCAGTTTGATTCAATCGATTTGGGCGGATCGGAATATCCGCTAAGCACTCCTAGTTTGTAGTAAAATTGTTAGTAAGAATTTAAGTACATGTAACATTGCTCATAAAAGTATCTATGTTACACGGCCTCAAGTATGAGTATTGGTATTGGGTTATATATCCAAAAGTTACGTGGATATGTCAAAATGTATATACATATATTTCATATTATATAATTTTATTAGATAATATGAGTAACATTATTGGGGAATTTATTAGAAAATCCTCTTTCAAATATTTGTATTCTAGTTAATTCATAAAATATTTTTGTATTCCAACCTATTATTTTGGACATTTGATCTATTAAATCCTAATTCTTATATTTAAGGTATTTTATGAACAATTTTACCTTTACAAATATTTTTTCAACCCTTAGCAACTTGATAATGTGAACATTTACATTAAATAAATTTAACAGTGTGAATGTTCATGTTGATAATGTGAACATTAATGCGTACTTCACCCTATTATTATTTGGGGGTATTTTGGTAACTACATCACCCATAGGATTTATTGGAACATAAGAAAATAATTTGTCCTAAGTGGAACATAAGTAGGTGAAGATTTATGAATAAATTCTCCTAAAATTATTTTAAAATATGTGTGAATTTAAGTCATATTTAGAAAAGGAAAAAAAAAAAAACAAAGTATAGAATTTCTAGCTCTCAGCCATGTGAAAGACAAAAACATTTTTTTTTATCAGCAAATATAAGCTTGTTCATCTTCAAACATTATATAAAATTGGAGAATAAATGTGTCAAAGTTAGATACGGGTGTCAAACACATATTAGAAATGGAACATAAGAGTTGAGAGAGAGAGAGAGAGAAGAGAAGAGATTTGGTGGAAGAGGAGGCATAAAACCTCATTGGGTTTCTTACCCCTCTAAACACATGTATTTATAATAACAAGGGAATAAGTACAAGTACAATAATACCCTCAACCAAATAACTTAGCACTCATCCTCAAGTTGGGCATAGATATTTCTCATGCCCAACTTGCATACAATAGGATGAAACACTTTACTTGCTAACCCTTTGGTAAACACATCACCCAACTGATCTTCTAATTTGACATGCGACAAACAAATAAGTCCACCAGTCACTTTCTCTCTAATGAAATGTCGATCAATCTTAATGTGCTTAGTTCTATCATGCTGAAGCAGATTATGAGCAATGTTAATAGCAGCCTTATTATCACAATACAGTTGCATGGGACCACCACGCAACAATCCTAGATCAGCCAGCAAAACTTGAAGCCACATCAACTGAAAAATGAGATGTGCCATTGCTCGATACTCCGCTTCTGCACTTGATCTGGTGACAACTAACTGCTTCTTACTCCGCCATGTAACCAAATTTCCTTCGACAAATGTACATTAGCCGGAAGTAGACCTCATATCATCAATAGCACCAGCCCAATCTGCATCAGTGAAGGCCTCTAATCTTAAATGACAATGATTGAAGAACAAGATGCCTTTTCTAGGCTCTGATTTGAGATATCTTAAGATCTAATGAACTGCATCCAAATGTCCCGTCTGAGGATCATGCATGTATTTGCTAACAACACCAACTGCATATGCAATATTCGGCTTGATATCAGAAAGGTATATCAGTCTTCTCACAAGCCGTTGATACCTCCCTTTGTCAACATGTTCTCCGTCACTACTGCTGAGCCTGTGATTAGCCTCAATAGAAGAATCAGCAAGACTACATCCCAACATGCCTACCTCCTCAAGCAAATCCAAGATGTACTTCCTTTGAGAAATGAAGATGCCCATATTTGATCTAGCAATCTCAATTCCAAGGAAGTAGCGTAAAGGTCCGAGATCTTTAATTTCAAATTCCCTAGAAAGTTGAGCTTTGATTTTGGACATTTTTTCTTCATCATTGCCTGTCGCTACAATGTCATCCACATAAACAATAAGCACAGTGATCTTATCTCCATACTATTTGATGAACAAGATATGATCTACATGACTTTGCTTATACCCAAATCTGAGCATTGCCTTAAGGTATCTATCAAATCAAGCTCTAAGAGATTGTTTCAACCCATACAAAGCCTTCTTTAATTGGCAAACCTTCCCTTCGGTGGCTAGAGAAGAAAACTCTAGAGGAACATCCATATACACTTTCTTTTCTAGATCCTCATTAAGAAATGCATTCTTCATGTCCAACTGCTATAATGGTCATTCTAGAGTTACTGCATAGGAAAGAAGAACACGGATGGAATTCATCTTGGCCACTGGTGTAAAGTTCTCTTGATAATCAATGCCATAAGACTAAGTAAACCCTTTGGCAACTAGGCTTGCCTTATATCGCTCAGTGGTCCCATCAACTTTCTGCTTAACAGTGAACACTCATTTGCACCTCACAGGCTTTGTCTCGGTTGGTAGAGAAACTAACTCCCAAATGCCATTCTTACTCAGTGCTTTCATCTCCTTTGCCATAGCTTCTTTCTACTTAGAATCATTAAGAACTTCATTTCAACCCTGCGGAATAGGAACATAAGACAAAGATGAAACAAAGGCACGGTACGATGGGGATAATGAATCATATGACACAAAATGATATATAAGATATTTAGTACAAGATCTAACTCCTTTCCTAATAGCAATAGAAAGATCCAAGTCATCAACTTTATGAACATCACTAGCAAGGACAGGAGAATTAAAAACCAATGACTCATTACTTAAAACTGGAGATGATTGGCATGGCAGCACATCAAGCACTTGTTCCCTTTGTCATTGAGAGTAGGTCTTGAGATCGAATCTATCCAACCGACTAGACTCCCCCTGAACACAAGACTCCCTCTGAACACAAGGAATCACCTCCCCCTCACTACATGGCCCACCCTCCCTCTCACAACCACTGGAAGGAAAAACCATAGAATTCGGGAAGCCAATCTCTTCTGGAATAGAAACCTCCCCCTGAAGAGATGATCTCGGGAATAATAGAAACCTCCCCCTGAAGACATGATCTCGGGAATAATGGCTCAGACTCACAGAATGTGACATCCATAGAAACATAAACCTTGGGAGTGTGAGGGTCATAGCACTAATAGCCTTTTTGAGTAGAGGCATAACTGAGAAAAATACATCGCAAGGCCTTGGGATCAAGTTTGCAGCAAATAGAATGAAGGGAATGGACAAAGTAGACACAACCGAAGACCTTAGGTGGAAGAGAAACAGGGCGAACCAAAGTACGGGGAAGAAGGTCAAGAGGGTGTTGAAACTGGAGGACACTCGAAGGCATGCGATTAATAAGATATGCAGTGGTAAGGATCGTATCACCCCAATAAGGTTTAGGTAGATGCATGGTGAACAGGAGCACAAGCAACCTTAAGAAGATGACAGTTCTTACGTTCGGCTAGACCATTTCGTTCAGGGGTACCGATAGAACTAGTTTGATAAAGAATGCCATGGGCCTCAAGATAGGCCTTAAATGAACCATCAATATATTCATTGCCATTGTCACTCCGGAGGACTTTAATGGGGGTAACAAATTGAGTAAGCACCATTTTATGGAATGTCTAAAAACATGAAAAAAACTTCACTTTTGGTCTGGAGCAATTAAACCCAAGTCACACGAGAATAGCAATCAATAAAAGTAACAAACCACCGATAACCAGAAACAGACAGAACACGAGACAGGCCCTAAACATCAGAATGAATAACCATGAAAGAAAAAATACTTCTTGTATTAATGGGAGGATAACAAAAACGTTTATGTTTAGCATACTGACATGCATCATAATGAAAAGGATTCTTATGGCAATCCTTTACTAAAGTGGGAAAAAGTTTTGCTAAAACAGAAATAGAGGGATGTCCTAAATGCCTATGCCACTGATGCAACAGAGAAATGACAGAAGTGCTAGTTGCTTGAAGAGCCTGGTGAGAAGATCTGAGGGTAGAAAGTCCAGCATCCAGAAAGTACAGGCCCCATGTGCATTACCACTGCCAATCGTTCTTCTCGTACCTAATTCCTAAAAAACACAGTGAGAAGGATAAAAGGTTATGGAACAATTTAGCAAATTGGTAAGACGACTAACAGAGAGTAAATTAGTAGAGAATTGGGAACATGAAGAACATAGGAAATAGAAATAGAGGAAGAGCAATGAATAGAGCCTATCCCAGACATAGATGATAAAGACCCATCAGCAACTCTTACTTTATCCTTGCCAGAACAAGGAGAGTAAGAGCGGAAAAGATAAGACAAACCTATCATGTGTTCAGTACCGCCAAAATCAATGATCCAAGGATAGGAGGAAGAAGAGACAAAAGCACTCAAGGCACTCAAAACAATACCTGTGGATGCAAAGTTGGAAGTAGAGGGTGGATCAGAAGCAGAAACAGAGGAGGAATCAAGACGAGCCATCAGACATCGGAGAGTGTGTAATTCATCATTGGAAAGGGTGACAGGATCTCCCGAGGGGCTAGTAGAAGACTTTAAGAGATTGGCATGAGAATGAATAGAGCCACCACCATGGCCACCACCCCGCCCTCGAGGAGGGCGACTATGCAACTTCCAACAATGTTCTCTATCATGCCAGTCTTTCCCACAATAATCACATGTAATTTGACCACGATCAACATTACTACCTTTGCCCTCAGACTTGAAGAATGAACCATCCTTGGGAGCAGAAGAAACAATCAAAGCAGAGCAATCTTGGAGAGGCTGATGAACCATAGCGTTGCGCCTACTCTCTTCTTGATATAAGCATACGCCTTATGCACAGTGGGAAAAGGATCTTGGCCAATAATTTGAACCCGAATATGATCATACTCAATGTTAAGACTAGCAAGAAAATCATAGACCCTCTCATTTGACACCATCTGCTGATAGCATCTTGAGAACAAACAGCCTAAAAATTTTGATAATAGTCAAGCTCTTGCCACAAACTACTCAACTCGACATAGTACTCAGCAAGAGACCTATCTTTCTGATCAAACCCTCGTATTTTCTTTCACAACTCATGGTCTGGGCATCATTACTATGCTGGGAATACAACTAAGCAGCAACAGTCCATATCTTATGAGCAACATCCATCAAAACAAAGGAGCGGCTAATATTGGGATGGATAGAGTTAAGGAGCCAAGTCATGACAAGAGCATTCTCTTTAAGCCACTTGTCGTGGGCTAGTCCATCCTCCTGGGAAACCTTAGTAACTACCTTAATGTAACCAGACATCCCACGAGCAGTAATGACTAATTGAAATGAGAGCGACCAAACCAAGTAATTAGTGTCATCCAACTTTACTGAAGTAAGCTGAAAAGAGGAATTGTCACTGAGAGAGCCAAAGGGACTAGACATTTGCACCTCGCTGCTTACAGGAGCCTTGCCATCATCAGCCATGGCCGAAAAGTAGTGTGAGCACACCCTAAATACAATACAACCACACCAAATAAAGAGAACTGTCAAAGGGAATTAGTTCCCAATAACCACAGCCCAGGAGCAGTATAATAAACCTAGAAAAAACACTCATGTTGGAGTAGAAGACCAAAAACATACAGGCGGAGACCAAAAAACCGTCAATCGAAGCACGGAGGAGCCAAAAAACAACCAAAAACCATCTAGAAGGAACAACCAGGACTAAAGAAGGCCAGAATAGTGCTAGTTGGCCCCTAGAAATGTGAGCCCAAGGGTTGAATCGAGCTAAAAGCTACTAGAATGAAGAAATCAAAAAAAATAGGCCTATTTTTTTCCAAAAATAAAGAAAAATCAGAAAAAATAGGCAACCACAAGCAAAAAATTTTGAAAATTTTTCTGGGTACTCTCTAACCCTAGTCGAGCATGGTGGTAATTTATTTATTTTATTTATTTTTTTTTTAAATTTCAAATCAAGAACAACGAAGAAGAACAAGAAAAAATGAAGGAAAATAAATAAATAAATAAAAGAACAAAAAACTAGTTTTTTACTTTGATACCCACTTAGAAATGGAACATAAGAGTTCAGAGAGAGAGAGAGAGAGAAAAGAGATTTGGTGGAAGAGGAGGCACAAAATCTCATTAGGTTTCTTACCCCCTTTGAACACATGTATTTATACTAACAAAGGAATAAGTACAAGTACAATAATACCCTCAACCAAATAACTTTACATATCCCACACTCATATTCTTGTCATATCTAGTAGACATGGATAATATAGGGAAAAAAAAATTTTAAAAAAAAGAAAAAGAGTCCATCTAACATTAAAAATGATCACTTGAGACCTTTTGCTACTTTTTAGTGAAAGTGGATGATTAACATAATTTTTTTATATATTATATAAATCTAAATAAATTCAAGGGTTTCAAAAGGAAAAATATAAAATAGCACATGTAGAAATAAATTTCCTCCACTAATTAGCAATGTTAGTCCAAGGTAGCAGTATCGGTCTAACAAATTTCTAACTGTCATCATTTTTGGAGAACAATTATATACATTCACACACAAATATCTTACACACCCCTTGTGAGAGGAAAAGAAAAAGTGCATATCATTATCTTATTTATAAGTCATGTTCTTTTTAAATTTCATCCTACATAATATATTGAAAGGGCTTGATGGAAAACCAAAATTATCACCAATGAAGATGCCAAATCAAGTGTGAAGTTCATGTGCCACTTGAAAATTCTAATGGTAAAGCCGCTAATCTCCCATGTGTTAGAGGGGAGCTTCTAAATACACCCCCTGCCCTGGCCACGCCCCAAACCAATTCCTTTAGCAAAGCCACTAGTTGTGTGCATGTGATTGGGTGTATTTAGAAGCTCCCGTTTTTGGAGCCAAACTTTCCTTTATTATACTTTTTATCCTAAAAACTAAGAAACATTTTGTGTACGCGTGATTGGGTGTATTAGAAGCTCCCATTTTTTAAAGCAAACTTTACCATTATTATATTTTTTATCCTAAAAAATGAGAAGAAAACTCAATAATTCTATCATAGATTGGTGGTTTTCCTAGACTACTTGTGGTTTTTTGGCAGATTTTATAATTTGTTGTTTGTAGTTTGAGTAGGGTTTTTTTGTTTGGCCCTTTGGAATTTTGTTGTTGTTTTTCTTTTGAACTAACAACTTTATAATTTTTCTCAAAAAAATAATTGTGCCCAAATCCACTTGTATCTTTTTTGTTTCCCTTTTTCATCTATTTATATCAATCAACTTCATGTATATAGACAATCTTCTATCATAAGAGTATGGTAAGTTGTGGCTCTTATGCACCATGTTGCCCCAAATGGTAGTTGCAACTCTCATGCACCATGCTGCCTCAAATGGTGCTTGCGAGTTCTGGTGTTATTTTTTTCTCCTGTTTTTTTCTTTACATTTTTGCATATTAGTTTATCAATCATACATGTCTGTATTTTTATTTGCATTCTTGTGTTGCAGCAGTAACAACAAGAACAATTGCAACAGCACCTGTAGCAACATGAAGTGAGATTCTTTGCATTTCATTTTTCTAAATCTTTCCTGAGAGGGTAATTTTTGGGAAAAATTGGGCCGAGCTGTGAGTTGGGCTTTGTGGCCCAAAGTACGAAGGACTGAGTAAAAATGCCGTAATGATTACTCTGGCCCAATAAAAATGTAAAAGTTTACTCCGGCCCAGGAGAGGCAAGGTTACTCCGGCCTAGGAAAGACAAGGTTACTCCGGCCAGGGAGGTAAAATTACTTCGGCTCAGGGACTGTAAAGATACTTCGGTCCAGAACGATTTGGAGTTATGCCGGTCTTGGAGTCATGCCGGCCGAAAATCATTGGTTCGGTCTAAGCCCGTACCATGGGTTCTACACGGAAAGCCGAGATAAGAAAGGGTAAACGTAAAAACCGAACTAAGAATAGTTCGGCCTACTCAGTGGCTCTACATAGCCAAGCTTATTTCGGTCATATCGTAGTTCGGCCAAAGTAAAAATCATCCCACTTGGTTTAAGCAGTGGGGGGGTGTAAAAGGATAAGCATTATCCTTAGGAGTATGAATCCTAGGAAGACTCTGCATGAAGGAATAGAAGTCCTACTAGGATTGTGCCATTCGAAACATATAAAAGCTCACAAACATCACCTTGGAAGAGGTAATAGAACACAACATAATTTTGCTCTCTGAGAACATTGAGCTTTGTCTATTTGTCAAGTTTTCTGACTTAGGCATCGGAGAGGTTTCCGGCACACACCCGCCGGCTAGCTCACGTTTGTGTTTTCAGGTGACAAAGCGACGTCGTACGGAGGAGCGTGGACTTAGTCAACAGGATTATACGAGAAGGTGTATTTCTTTCCCGTACAATTGGCGCCGTCTGTGGGAAAAACAGACAATATATTGAAATTTCCTTTTCTCATTCAATGGCACACATTGAAGAATTGCCGCAGTCCGCCGTCGACGGACTAACTCCAAAAGGGGGCGCAAGGCGTGAAGGGGTTACCTTCTGTCCCTCCCATGGCGGACTTGGAGCCCCAACGACATACCTCCAGGAGGGATGCTAGGGGAAGGCGGAATAACAGCCCCCATCGCTCTCATTCACAAAGTCCAGACAGGCAAAGACGGAGGAAGCAGTGGGGGAGGGTGTAAAAGGATAAGCATTATCCTTGGGAGAATGAATCCTAGGAGGACTCTGCATGGAGAAATACAATTCCTACTAGGATTGTGCCATATGAAACTTATAAAAGCTCACAAGCAACCACCTTGGAGGAGGTAATTGAACACAATCTTTCTGAGAACTTAGAGCTTTGTCTATTTGTCAAGTTTTCTGACTTAGGCATCGGAGAGGTTTCCGGCACACACCCGCCGGCTAGCTCACGTTTGTGTTTTCAGGTGATAAAGCGACGTCGTACGGAGGAGCGTGGACTTAGTCAACAGGATTATACGAGAATGTGTATTTCTTTCCCGTACATTTCCTATAAGTAGTTTGTCTATAAAAAAAATTTGTACTTTTTTTATTTTTTATTTGTATTTCTTGCAGCATGAAGTAGGTGAGAAGGAAGGAGGAGAAAAGGAAGAGACTAATAATGACAACAGCAATGATGGTGGTGATGTGTACAAGGAGAATGGAGATAGCCATAATTAATGAACATGAGGATGACTTTTGATGATGATGATGATGATCACAATGCTCAATATTGTGATTATAACACTCTCTAAACATTTTGAATACAAAGTGTGTATCTTTCTGTGATATTATTTTCCAGGCAAGAGAACAATATTGGTGTCTTGTGCCTTCTCTAAACCATAATTCTCAGTATATAGTTATTTTTCTCAGGATAAAATATGAAACATCTTCATTTTCTTCCAATTTGATAAACCTATATTATTATTTTCAACTTATAGTTATTATAATAATAATTTTATTATTTTTGTTGATAAACCTATATTATGACTTTTATTTTTTTAATACATTGGTGATGTTGTTTAACTTTTAAATTGAAATTCTATTTATGAACATATTATTATTTATTACAAAGTACATAGAGCATATCTAACATATCATATAGTGATACATAGTGATAAAGTCATAAATATGTCAACATTCAATAACTAGTTGGTTTGTACCCGATTAAAATCGTATTTGTGTCATGCAAGCATCAAACTCAAAATGTTTAAATTCAAGTCCTTAAACTCACTCATAATGATGTAGGTTTAACTTTTGGTTGGAGAAAAGCCAGATCTTTTTGGGTTTTAATAATTTGTTGCAAGCTTTAGTCATTGAATTGCAAGTGTCCGTTCTGACAA